CTCAAGTATGCTTCGTTCCAGTTACGTATTGCTGTCAAACGTCAATTAGGTGTAAGCGCAAACTCCAACAGAAATTTTTTAAAAATATATACAAGGACAATAGCCCATCGTTTAACTTCGGTAAACATCGTTATCAAACGTCAAACACTGGCGGTAAAATTACTAGGTGTGGCGCGCAAGCTCCAAAATAAATAGAAAAATCTAATGCAAAACATAGCGATTAATTAATTAATTTAAAAGTATTAAGTCAAACGTCAAATGCCAACTAGGTGTAAGCGCAGACTCCAAAATAAACAGAAAAATTTAAAAAATATGTACAAGTACTTAACGCTATAAGAATAAAATTTAGAGATGAGACTAAAAAGCAGACAGTTCTGAGAATCTAACAACAAAAATAATTAATTTAAAAAGTATTAAGTCAAACGTCAACTATGTCAACTAGGTGTGGCTCTAGGCACAAGCTCCAACAGAAAAATTTTAAAAATATATACAAGGACAAAAACTCATCGTTTAACTTTGGTAAACAGCGCTGTCAAACGTCAAAATCAGCGCGCTAAAATTACTAGACGGTGGTAGAAATAAACAGAAAAACCCCTTGTAATGTAAAAAAACTTTAATATTTATCGAAACGATGAAAATTAATTTAAGAGTATTAAATCAAAAAACAAAACGGTTAGAAATACGTACTTACTAGGTTTATATGTATTATTATCCAGTCACTCAACAGATACACTGATGCAATATCACTTTTCACTAAACGCACTGAAAATAAACAGTAAATTTCTTGATGCAGCACCGTTAAAAGTTAGAAATGAAATGATCATTTTGTAGCTAAAAATATAATGTGAACAGGAAACAATGATAATGTGACAGGAAACAGATAACACCATTACTTGGAATATACGAGGTGTGTAGAATAAGGTTAATATACGAGGTGTGTAGCTAATTTAGTTGACTGCTTTCGTAATAATAATTTTACTACAAAAACAATCTTAAGCTCCAACGCCGCGTCAAGGCATAGCTACATTGCTGGGGACACATTCGCACACTCATTCACTCCAAACAAATTACTATGAGTAGGCAGCACGAGCACCAATCTAAAGATTAATTCAGACGGCTCTTTAATTCGCCAATAGATACTAAGTCAAAAATTAACCTATAGGTAAACTGTCAAATAAAACTATAACGACCCTTTCTACAATGATAGATTGATATTTAATTAAAAATAAAAACAACAAAGTTCAAACTGTTGGAATTAAACCGAAAAAATATCTTTTACTAAAAAATAAGGGTAAAATTAGTCTAAAAGTATGTACTTTACCTATAGTGCCTTTCTAAAGTAAGTAATCCTCATCAGTCCATTTGGATTATTTAGCAATATAGAAAACAAACACAGATTCACTAAAACACATACGACGAGCGTATTAAAACTTAAGACATTCAAAAATTAGTATACCTTAAATTTATTTATACCCCTATACGTATGAAATAAAACGAAAAATTAAAAGGATTAATTTTAATACAAATGTATGTATAAAGTGAGTAGAGAGACTTCCGTTAATGACGTTATCAGCTAAATATATTCACCATATATCTGATTCATATAGACATTACAGAGTGAAAAGAAAAAATTAACAGAAAATTTGTTTGTATTGAAATGTACAGAATTGAAAGAAAAATAAACAGAAAATTTAGAAACATTTATTAGATTAGTGGTTTTGCTATTTTCTTATCATATAAGTTTGTTAAGTTGCTAACTTGGATTATATGTAAGGTAAGTATCTTCTATTCCACGAACCATTTTTCTATTTTTTATTTATAAGGATTATTGGAAATAAAACATATCATTATTTACACATGCACCAATTTATAGTTCTAGAATTCTAAAAATAACAGGACGAACGCAGAAACCAAGCCTTGACAAATCTATGAAATACTCTGACGTCATCATTACTTACATTGAAAACTAAACATAACCTATATGATACATAGTATTCTTGTTTACTTTTGTTTTCTTAACATAAATATTTAAAAGCACCTAAGACCACGTTATAATTCAGAATATAATATTTTTAATCTGTTAAAATAGGTAGAAAAATTTAAAAACTTTATTAAAATTATAACAAAATGATTTATTATTTAGAGTGAACGCATTCACTTGTATTATACGCTTCTTGTCATGATATATTTTAAAATTATTATAGGGACCAAACGCTAAAAAAAGATCAAAGTATCTAGACACATAGTTCAAAACATGTTTTGAAAGTTTGATCTACATGGGTTTTAACTCAAAAACTAATTATTCATCTCACACACAACCGTCTTAAATCATTATACTAATACATGAGTATATTTGGTTGATATCCTAAAGAAATTAAGAAAAGATACTACACAACTATAATAGAGTATTTAAAGTATTTATTAATTTAAAGAATTTACATTAAAGCTTCAAATACAATAAAACCTTTAAATTATATTTATACATTTATTCACAAGAGGTAAATACACATATGGAGTTGAAAATCATTTTGAGCTTATCTGGATTAATTTCTAGAAATTCCAACATATAATATGATAATTCACAAACATTTAAATAACAATATTTTTTTAATTTCTTCTAAACAATTTTCTTGAGAGACATTACAAGCTCTAATATAATGTAAAAGAAAAGGGTCTTAAACCTAATTTCACAAGTAACTCTAACCTATAATTAACAATAAACTTTTGATTTAAAATTAATCGAATGTTCATCCAGCCACATCATTTAGCATGTTTATGGGAGATCTTCAATTCTAGAAGTTTCGAAAACATATACTTTTCTTCGTAAAATTTTATAATAACTTTTAATTGGAATTAACCAAATGTTTCTCTAGTAAAAAATGTATATCTGCTGTAGAGATCTTTCTCCTTTCACACTCGAAACAATCTGGTGAGGAACATGATGAATTTGAGGTTATGTCTAGCGCTCTCATATCGACATACACACAAGCGGCTGTCTTGATGATTACTAATCGATCGTATACGTTTTATTTCCTTCCCCTATTACCACCAAACTAATTCATTTGTTTAAACTTGTTTATATTCAATTCTAAAAATAGAATCTTACGTAACGACCAACCGCTAACCAGTTCGCGCCAAAAAAATATCAACCAATAGTGTACGACGCTACATATTTTTTCTATAATTAACAACCAATCAGTATGGTCCAGTAAACGTCATACCTATTGCAAAAATCATTATGGTTTTGTGTGCCTATCTGGTAAGTCGATATTACAATATTAATATTTTTTGTATAGAAATTTTGCCACTAAATAAAAAAACGAGAAACAATTTTAAAATATTTATTTAGGAACTATTAAAATAATAATACATTTGTAAAATAAATAAAAAAAAATATTTTTGATTTATAATTTTATTTAACAATACTTTTAGTTTTTCTAATAAGCTAATGTTTGGACAAGATATTCCAAAGAAATCCAAGTTAAGTTTACCGGTTGCTTTTAAACTATTGGAAAATTCGTCATAACCGTAATAATATCCGTTATAAAGAAAATAAGTTATACCATTAGTGTACCGAAATACCGAATCTATTTTACTAGGTACACCCGTAAAGTGTTCTGTTATCAGTGCGGTACTTTTCGGTAAAAAGCGGCAATCATCAATTTCACTAAACATATTATTGTCGAAAAACCAGTACGTTTTACCACGGTACGAATTGAGAGCGCCCCGTATGGTTGAATAATTAGGCATAAGAACATTATAATGCTCGCGTTTAAGCAACCTAAACGAGCCGTATTCGAAAATATAAATCATACTTTCAGTGAATAATACAATATCGTTGTTTGGTTTTTGATAAATACCCGCAATTTTTTCAAAAGGTGTAGGTAAAAAATTTAACCAATTAGTTATTACAAGCGGTGTATCTTGAATTTCTTTAGTGCTTAAATTTAACAGCCACACGTACTTTTTATAAAACAAAACAGAGTTTATTGTTTACAATTAGAAACGAAGTATTTGACATTTTTGAATTTAAATCACATAATTTTGGAGTTTTTAAATTGATTTCTTGTGTGGGTGGTGGCGGTGATGTAGTCGTCGTCGTCGTCGTTGTCGTTGTCGTAGTCGACGCCCTTGTTGTTGTTGTTGCTCCATAACTGATAACGTATTAATGATGCTTTACATAAGAATATACGGTATTTATACCCAACCCAACACTAACGCAACGCTAACCCAACAGCAACACAACACGAACCCAACAGCAGCGCAGCGCTAACCCAACAGCAACCCAACACTAACCCAACGGGAACCCGGCATAGACGCCCACTTAAACAGCCCTGTTAACCCGCTGGGAACAGACCTGTTGGGCCCGATCGAACTGCCCTGTTGACCCGTTCATCCGCTTAAACAGACCTGTTGGGAACAGACCCGATAGACCGGTTCGTCCGCTTGAACAGCCCTGTTGACCCGTTCATCCGCTTAAACAGACCTGTTGGGAACAGACCCGATAGACCGGTTCGTCCGCTTGAACAGCCCTGTTGACCCGTTCATCCGCTTAAACAGACCTGTTGGGAACAGACCCGATAGACCGGTTCGTCCGCTTGAACAGCCCTGTTGACCCGTTCATCCGCTTAAACAGACCTGTTGGGAATAGACCCGATAGACCGGTTCGTCCGCTTGAACAGCCCTGTTGACCCGTTCATCCGTTTGAACTGCCCTGTTGGACCCGTTGGGAACCGCCCTGTTGGATCCGATGGACCCGATAGAGCGGTTTTTGCCCCAGAAAAAGGTTAATTGCTACCACTAAAGCTTAGAACATATTTTAAATTGTATTAGTCTGATGGCCCATCAAAATTTGTCATCAAAAATATCGTTGAAAACAAATTATTAACGATAATATTGGGTGATTTAACAGAAAATATAGTGTGGAAAAATTAATAATTACATAAAAATATTTTTGGAATATATACAGCGTGAAAAAAATAAACTGTAAAATATATGGTGTAAAAGCAATACGTGATGAAATCACCGCTCGGTTTTAGCGATAAATATTTAATTAAAATTAAACTTTGTGTGTGGGCATTATCTACATCCGACATGTGGCGGAGCGATAAATAATATCAGAAATTTTTGCTGTATCTAGCGGATGTTGTGGTTTTTGAAAGGAAATGATGATGATTCTACCCACTAATGGTTTTTGCAATAGGTATGACGTGTTTTTTGGATCCGGTCAGGCGTGTGGGTTAAACTAGAAATTTAATATAGGTTTACTTAAATACAGGAAAAAAAGATAAAGTTTAATTGTAAGATTTCTTTATTGATAAATATATTAATAACAAAAGTAGTGATAACATACTTGTTAGTATAAACTTACGAGTAATAAACAGTTTGTTAGTATAAATATTTTTTTTTTTTTTTTTGTGTAAATAATCAAGACATGACTTTATTGACAAAAATAATAACATACATGTTAGTATAAATATTTTTCTAGATAGTTTGTATAGTAAACATTTACATATTGTATTGATAAATATATTAATAACATATATGTTAGTATAAAATATAAATATTAATACGGGTTCTATATAAAATTACAGAATAAACTTACAAGCAATAAACAGTTTGTTAGTATAAATATTAATCAATCTGTATAGTAACATTTGCATATTTTATTGATAAATATATTAATAACATACATGTTAATATATAAAATTATAAAATAAACTTACGAGTAATAAACAGTTTGTTAGTATAAATATTAATCAGCCTGTATAGTAACATTTACATATTTTATTGATAAAAAAATAATAACATTCATGTTAGTATAAATATTTTTCTAGACGCCCTGTATATTAACATTTACATATTGTATTGATAAATATATTAATAACAAAAGTAGTGATAACATACTTGTTAATATAAACTTACGAGTAATAAACAGTTTGTTACTATAAATATTTTCTAGACACCCTGTATATTAACATTTATATTTTATTGACAAAAATAATAACATACATGTTAATATATAAAATTATAAAAATAAACTTACAAACAATAAACAGTTTGTTAGTATAAATATTAATCAACCTGTATAGTAACATTTAAAAATAGTGATAATATGCTTGTTAATATAACAATATAAATAGGTATTCGAATAAGAAAAAATAGCTTAATATAGGTTTATAAATACGTTAAAATAATCAATACACCCTGTATAAAATAGAATAATTACAATATAAACTTACAAGTAATAAAATTATAAAATAAATAGGTTTTGAATAACAATAGATGTAGAAATTAGAACAATGAAGTTAATATAGGTGCACAGCTACAGTCTAGCTTTTTTAAACCCGAACGGTAATGAACCACCTTGCTCGTCGAATTTCCATTTGGTCGACAACGGTCTGTATAGTTTAGTCAGTTGTGTAGTCATAACTTTGTGATCCCCGGTTCTCCGTATCTGTTTGTATATTATTGGGACAGGTTCGGGCTCTTCTTCTGTTAAAACCATGGATTTTATGGTTTCAAAATTCACGGTTTGAGAGGCGTTGTAGTTTAGGGAAAGACCTTTAACCTTGCACGTTATGGAATATTCCCCGGATTTAGGAGAATATACCTTATACGCATAATTCTTAGGCCCTCCCGACACAAACTCATCAATGTAGCTACCCTCGCCATACCCCTCCAGCTCGTCAGTCATCTCTCCCAGAAAATTTCCAAGCGGAATATCTTCTTGCCCTGCCTTCGATAGGTAGATAACGCTATCGGTGTCCGTGTAAATAGCATTATCACCAACTTTTTCCAGGTAGCTATATAATTTCAGGCGGGCTTGAGCCGTGGTGTATGCAGCTAAACATACATTTACTGTTGGTAAAACATCGTACGCTTCATCTTTAAACGACCAATTTACCAGTAAAGTATCGTCGTTCACAGGCAGTATGGAGTTGACATCTGTTGCAGGGTTAGTTAGCATGGAAAACAGGGTTTCTGGCCTATTCACAATAGACGTCTTTCCCTGATTTTCCCTCTGTCCTAACTTGCCCCAAAACGAGGTGATAACCGCTTTACCCAACTGTCTAAGACCCGGATTTACAGCCACCTTTTGGGGATCTAGCGTAACACCTTCCCTTGCCAAATATTCTCGTACGTATTGGTCTTTGGATTCGGGCGTTGTACAGTATGAAGGCCAGCCTGATGATTCTTGTTTTATTTTTAGGAATTTGCTGATGTATCCATTAAATAAACCCCCTTCTTTTGTCTCCGGGTCATACTGCGTTACCTTATACTTCCAGATTTCCTGAATATCTAGTATAAGGTACCCTTTCTCAACCGACTTCACCACTTCGTCAATAACCCATGTTCCGTTAATTACCCGCTCTTCATCGCTATGACTACACTCTCTGGACCCTGTTTTACCGCACGTGTAACACAACACGAACATGAGTTTATCGTTCAGTTTTACGGGCAATACGGGATGGATCAGCTGCTGAGGTGGAAGAATTCTGCATTTAATCAGTCCATCTGTTTCAAGCAGATTAAGTTTATTGCACTTTTCATTACCGACGATAACTTCCGGATGTCCTACGGGGTACTTTCCGTACTTGTTCACCCACGGGTAAAGCGAACAAACGTCGACGTATTTGATTTGTTCTCCGTCCCGGCACTTGTAATAGGTTTTCATATTTTCCGTACGGCCCCCGTAAAAAGCGTCGCGCGGATTTAGTGGTAAATTGATAAGTAGAGGATGGTCTTCGGTATATTGTCTGATTTCATCGTTCATATTGCGCCGGAAATCGCACTCCCACATTTCAATCACCTCGTAGCCTTGGTCTATTAAATGTTGAGTTTTAGTAACCGTATTTTCGTACCGGGAATCCAATGTTTGTGTAGGGTCGTCTTTCAGCGGTACCTGGCGCTCGTACTTGTAACATCTAGGGCACCCATGGTAATAACAACCGTGAAACTCAAACACTTGTTTTGATTTTTCACAGAACCCATCTACTTTACATCCCGCGACAATACTTTCCTGCTGCTTTGCAGCATGTATGATTTCAACCCCTCTTTCTTGTTCCTCCCACAATAACCATTGGAGCGCGATCTTACTTTGGTTATCGCATAACCTGTACCCGTTTTTAGGAATGATACCTATAGTTTCGGGCTGGAGGAAATTGCGGCGGAAAATCTTGTTGCAAGCACTGGGTAGTGTTGAGGCTTCTGTAAACGGGCATACGTTCCCCTCGTCTATCATGAGTTTTCTGAATTTGAGGCAGGCTTGCGTGAGAATATCGACATCAGATACACAATATTCAACAAACTCCTTCTCGAAATCGAACACATAGTTTTCAGCCACACGTTCCTGGTACCATTTAATGAACTTTTCCCTATCTTCAACCTTCATATTATTGGGATCGTAATACTCGATAGGGGGTATTGGTCCAGCATACTTCTGTTTTTCCATAATATTAAATAACATGTGAAACATAATACCCTGTCTTCAGATCTGTCAATCCGAATGCTTTAGGTAATTTGGATAGGGCCATAGGAAAATAATTGAGTGAGTCCAGAAATTTGACGTTGCCCACAGACATGAGAATTAACTTGGTACCTCTGGTAATAAGTTCTGGAGTCAGGTCTGTTTGCTGGAGAATATAGTCCAGGATAAATTGATGGTCAAACCCTCCGCCATTATGTGCTATCACCACCACATCCTTGAATTGTTTTCTTATGCCAAGCACATAACATATAAAGCGAGAAATTACATCGTCGCCTTTTAGTATTTGGCATCTAGCCGCACAGAACGCACAAATTAGTTTACTGGAGTCTTCTTCAAGGCACTTGTGACACCTTTTTGAAATACACATAATTTTAGTGTTTCATGAAGTAATCTTCTACCTATCTTCAACTTCTTCTTTGACCTCGTTTCCAAATTCATAGAAGTAAACACAATGTTTACATTACTGGGACACCCTGATCTGCTGATTAACAATGCGTTGCGGCCTGTGGCTGGTGTTTCTCTGCAACGTTCGGAACAATACTTTCACCACAGGTAGTGTGGTCTGCTTTTGACGATGACGAGATCACGATTGCACTTTCTAACACTTTCACAAGTAACTTCCGAAACTTTTGTCAACCGATCCAACCTTCTTATGGTTCTCGAAACATGTTGGGCCTCTGAACGAACGCAAACACTCGGGGCACTTGATTTTCATATTGTCTGTAGGGCATGCTGGAGATTGTTGACACCCCGCGCATGTACCACCACACCTATGTCTGTTTTTACTATTGTAAGGAACGTTACACTCTTCACAATAATAATCACAACAAAATGCCGCTGTCAATGATGTTATGACATTGTAATGTCCTTCGTGATACAGCAAATGGAGTTTCCTAGGCTTCTCCAGCTGCCCTTTAAAAACCAGATCCCTGCCCTTGGATCCGTACTGATAGACTATAATTTGGTAGTCTACCAGATGTTGTTGGAAGGCCTGGATTTCGGGGATGCCTGCCCCCTCTACCGGTATAACAACGCCTGCTGCTTCCACTAGAACCCTGGCCTTCTCCGTTTGGATTTTTCCTGTGTCCTTTCTTATCTTATTGTAAATAGGATCCTTATCAGCGTGCGCAATAGCCACAACCAAGGCCCTAGGAAGGCACAAATTATCTTTATTATTTATGGTGACAATCCCCTTCCGCATCCCACACTCTTCGTGGAAACTGTTATATTTGACCCCACGACCTTACCCAACCGGCATTTTCACGGCTGTAACACCGAGACAGAAAGTCTCGGTGTTTAGTCCGGTGCTGTTAGATTGATATATGGAAGATATTGTCTTCCATGCATCGTCAAAAGTTACTTCACTAACCGTTTTAAAATTCATCCAGCCATCACCGCGTGTAAAGTCTTTGGAGCAAAAACTGAGCCCCACTTGATCATTTGGGGCTACACCCTCGGTCCCTTTCTGCAAAATGTCTTCTACAGCCCCCTTCACCCACTTCATGGGATCCTCACCCTCCGGGATCGGTTTAATTTTGAATTCCACTTTACGGCCGGTAAGACCAAAACGCGGAACTTTTTTCATGAAATCTTTCACTACAATAAATTTTTCCATTTTTGAGGTTATGTTAAACGCTGCTGGTACTACGATGTGACACCTGCAAAGTCTCGATGAGAACTGATTTGAGCTCGTCGTGTCGCCCTTTTTATACCTTGACAGCTGTAGTGACGTGTGCAAAAGGAAGGATGATACAGGTATTGCGCAATATTAGGCAATTACCTTTTTGGGACCTTTATATGTATTTTAATGTATGTATATTTTAAACGCCCTGTAACTATAAATATTTTTATGTTTGCGATAAAGAAAATACTATATGGTAGTATCCGCCGTCATACTTCCTTCAGCTGATTCACACACACCTAGCGTGAAAACAAATTCTATTTTAGATCTCTCTCTCAACGTCACATCCTTTTCAATTATTGCACCATATTACCAACCGTTGTGGGTTCAGTTTGTTTCTCACTTTTAACGGTACTGCATCAAGAAATTTATTGTGTATTTTCAGTGCGTTTAGTGAAAAGGGCTATTGAAGAAGAAAAAGGGTGTAAGTGTATGTGTTGAGTGACTGGATAATAATACATATAAACCTCGTAAGTACGTATTTTTAGTAATACGCTTTGTTTTTTGATTTAATACTCTTAAATTAATTTTCTTCGTTTCGATAAATATTAAAGTTTTTTTTACATTAAAAAGGGTTTTTGCGGGTATACTCTTGCTGTAATTTTTCTGTCTACCGCCGCCACACCTAGTTTTTTTTGGCGCGCTGATTTTGACGTTTGATAACGATGTTTACCGAAGTTAAACGATGGGCTATTGTCCTTGTATTTTTAAAAATTTTCTGTTGGAGCTTGCGTATAAGAACGGTCACACCTAGTGATTTTAGCGCCAATATTTGACAGATGACGTTTGACTTAATACTTTTAATCTTTTAGTAAAGAAATGTCTTTTGATTTAATACTCTTAAATTAATTTTCTTCGTTTCGATAAATATTAAAGTTTTTTTTACATTAAAAAGGGTTTTTGCGGGTATACTCTTGCTGTAATTTTTCTGTCTGCCACACCTAGTTTTTTTTGGCGCGCTGATTTTGACGTTTGATAACGATGTTTACCGAAGTTAAACGATGGGCTATTGTCCTTGTATTTTTAAAAATTTTCTGTTGGAGCTTGCGTATAAGAACGGTCACACCTAGTTGACATAGTTGACGTTTGACTTAATACTTTTAAAATAATTAATTAATCGCTATGTTTTTGCATTAGATTTTTCTATTTATTTTGGAGCTTGCGCGCCACACCTAGTAATTTTAGAGCCAGTGTTTGACGTTTGATCTTTGTTTTAATTTAATACTCTTAAATTAATCGTTATGTTTTGCATTAGATTTTAATTTTTTTCTGTTTGTTTCGGACTTGTGTGAAAATTTCGATAGTTCTGCCACACCCTATTGATTTTGGCGCGTTGATTTTGACGTTTGACAGCCGCTGTTTACCGAAGTTAAACGATGGGCTATTGTCCTTGTATTTTTAAAAAATTTCTGTTGGAGCTTGCGCTTACACCTAATTGACGTTTGACTTAATACTTTTTTAAATTATTTTTGTTGATAGATTCTCAGAACTGTCTGCTTTTTAGTCTCACCTCCAAATTTTATTCTTATAGCGTTAAGTACTTGTACATATTTTTCTGTTGGGTTAGATTCTCAGAGCTGTTTGCTTTTAGTCATCTCTAAATTTTATTCTTATAGCATTAAGTACTTGTACATATTTTTCTTTTGGAGCCTGCGCACCACACCCTGTTGATTTTTGCGCCAATATTTGATGTTTAATCTTTTAGTAAAGTAAAGTCTTTTGGTTTAATACTCTTAAATTAATCGTTATGTTTTCTAATAAATCATTTAGCCATGCGTATATATATATTTTATTACTATTTTTGTTAAATAATAATTGTGCGTGCGCGACAAAGGACAGTACCACACCTTACGATATCAGCCGATATTTACCGAAGTCAACTTTGTTTACCTAAATTGTATCATTGGATTTATGCTTGCACTTATTAGTTAATTTTAATAAATTCTTAAATCAATGCGTTTTTACAAAGGGTATCTGGTACGTGTTTAAGGGCACGTTGATTTTGACGCGTTTACGATAACAACCGATGTTTACCGAAGAACTCAACCTTCAACAATATTGTTATAAAAACTTTTAAATAAGAACTACATTTATTTTTGTATCAGTCTTTAAGCGGTGGTCGTCGCAACAACACGTATGCTGCTGCTGCTGCTCCCACAACCTAGAAATAGTTTAGGTACTTACCTTACGCCGTTGGTACTGCTGGTGCTGCGCCCCTATAGCTAGTTTGTGGTAAGTAAATATTCTGCTTTTATTTTTGATAAATCAATGGTGCTAATAAATTTGGGGGCCCCCGGGGCGCAGGGCTAGGTGTATGGCATATGGTGAATGGCGCTCGTATATGGTATTTGACTTGTGTACGAACGTCGTTCATTAGGTGATCTATACCTTTGAGACAACTTTAAATTGGGGCCCTCATATAGACATACCTACAATTAATTTTAAATACGTTTGTGGTCGTGTTGATTAAGGCGTTAGCTTGGCGATCGACAGGTCCGTGGTTCAAACCCTACACCGAACTTTTTTATTAAAAATAAATTTAAATGACGTCAGGCGTATGACGTCATGCGTATAAATTGACTTATTAAGGTTCAGAGGTGATGACTCATGCATCACGGTTGGTGGCGTCATACGTCTGGCGCCAGAATTCCTGGAATTCGGTGTCTGGGCCGGATGTGGCTGGTGGTAACGTCATACGCCAGACGTTGCGGTTGATGACGTCATACGTCTGGCGCCAGAATTCTTGGAATTCGGTGTCTGGACCGGAAGTGACTGTCTGGCCAAAGTGCCCCCATACCTACTGTCGTGAGTTATTGGTAACCATTATATAAATAACACTTATATGCCCTAAACGGTGCCTTTTATAACTGTTCCTGTGGTAATCCTCAACACTCAATGTGTGCAACCAAAGTCCTGAAAACTTTCTCAACACCTTTACATATCCTATCGAGTTACCGCTATAAAACTGAAAAAGGGTATTTAATAGTTATATAGTGGTGTTGAGAAGGTTCCCAGAGATTACCTCCATAGAAATCTCGCGTATGCGCCTTTTTTAAAAATAAACTTGTTTCTTTCTGACTAACTATTTTATTATTTGCCTCTTTTTTTAACATAAAAAGCAGATATGATCTTATTGTTCCAAGTTGTCCTACGCAGATAATCCAGACCAGACACAAGAGACAAAATGATGCCATCCCTGTCATAGCCTACAAACGCGTTTGCGTTATGCAAATGACTTTATAGAAATTACTGGCTTAATAAAATCTATTGTGTCTAGCCAGAG